GGGAGGGGGCCGCCCCTGCGCGGAGCGGAGCGGGCAGCGGGCGGCGGGGCCCGGGCGGGAGCTGCCGGAGCGTTACGCGGACAGGTGCAAGGAGAGGCAGGAGGGAAGAAGGAGAAAGGGCGTTACCTGAGGGTTAGACCTGCCCAGACAGACATGAAAGAAAAAAAACAAAGATCTGACAGTTTTACTCCCTGTTTCTAGAACGCTAATAAAATGTACATGCATTACCCTTTCCTTTTATCGCTTCAGCTACAAGGAGGGGAATTTCTAAAGAAATTGGCATAGTCAGGGAGGTGTTTTCCCCTCTGCAAATTCTCCCTCGCATTTAATTTATCATTAATGTGACATGAAACCGATCTGGAGCGTTCGGGTATCGACACAACGTCTTACAAACATAAATGGGCAGGCCTGTGGTTCGGGATAAATATTTTCAAAACCTGCAGAGGTGAAGAAAGAAGGATTGAGAGATGGCTCATCTAACCCGTTTTCTTTGGGGTTTTGCACTGGGCCCATAACCAAAGTCTGCGAGCACCACAAATTAGCAATAGTGTCATCTACTGAAAGGTCTCTTTTGTCTTTCTACAGTGTTTTGGATCAATTTAGGACTTCGCTGTCCTGTTCCAGATGAGCATATGCATTTTTTTCATCCCCGAAGTAGAATGGTTCACGCATGCAAATGTATTGGTGGAACACGTGTCCATTATTAGCAATGGTAAAACAACGGTACATTAAAACTAAGAGCTTGACTTTTGATTTCTTTGCTGCTTTTTCTGTAACGTCCAAGGAATTTTAGGGCTCAAACTACATGACCCATCTTAGCGTTCAAGATACGCAATGCAGTTCCTTGCCAATGTTAAAACACGGTATTAGAGTACAAAACGCAAAGATCTTTCATAGTTAATTCTTTCAAAAGTTCGAGAGAATGGCTTGGCAGTTTAAGGTTTCATTTAAACAAAAAAGTTGCAGAGAATCATGAAAGATTAGTTCTCCCGTCTTGCTCCGTGGTCTTTTCAGTCACAGTCTAAATCTGAGAGATCAAATGGATTTGACTGCGTAGCTTTATTTGCTGTGGAGAGTATAGGGCTAATTAATTGGCAGGTGCTTTAAAGCAGGTAATGCTACACCTTTTCATCATCGCAGTCCTAAGCACTGCCCCTGTGTGCACCTGAATTATAAAAAGGCTGCTTTAAAGCAAGTGATTTACTGTGGAGGGATTTAAAACTGAAAAAAATAACGCTAAATACAATGATCAGATAAATCACCTCAGAAGCGAGCACAGGCGGACCTGCTCTGAAGGCAGTTACAGATAGATGTTATATTATTTTACCTTTCAGATAACAGGAGCCTGTCATGTGGTGGGACCCAAAAATCCACCATAATCGAGATTTCAAAGCACATCTGTGTAAACATTATCACATCAGTGTAAAACATCAACCAATGAGCTTTCTCTTTGAACCAAATCTACTTAATTGCAGTGCTAAATCAAAGAAATAGATCAAAGTTGAATAATCTATATGGCACCTATTTCTCAAGTAGCCTGTACACCGATTACTCAAATACACCTAAAACGTTTGAAACATGCATCAAGTATTTTTATTGACATGACTGGCAGGTCAAGATCAAACCGTGCATCACAGCTGCTAAGTTGCAGGAGGTGCACTAGGATGGTACAGCTAAATGGAGGAGGTATATTCTTCTAAGCCTAAAGATGCTCCTGTACGGATAATGTTGCCAGGTCCAAGCAGTGCTCTCCGAGTCCTACAAACAGTAGAGGGCTCTTCTGGTTAGATGGCACCACTGCCCCCAGCAGAGAAGGGTTTTTAAAAAAAAAATAATCCTCAGCCATCACACACTGGAAGACCCTTATGGCTAAATCTTTCCTGTTACATAATGGAAGCGTTTAAAGTAGAGTGGAATATATAATGTCGACCTTTTCCGAGTGGAGTCTTTAATGTCTGGGCACTAAACCGGTTATGCTGTTTTATAAAGTAGCAGAAAAGAAACAAAAAGATAAGAATTTTTTTGGTGTTTGCACTAGTCATGTGACAGGAAAAGATAACACTAAAGATTTTTTTTTGCACCTTCTGAGACTATACCATGGGAAGTCAAATAATTCTGAAGAGTGTTTTTACAAGAGTACCTAATTCAGCTTAAAGTATACAGTACAATCTAATCAACTCTACATATACTTCCTAGAGACCACACTTTCAGTGTCATTGAACAAATACATATGTGGTTGAGTTTTTATTTCCATAGAAAGCAGTTAGGGCTTCTATAGACAATATAATTACTGTATATTTCCTAAGAATAGCATGTTGTCGTAGGCAAAACCTGGTGCCTACCAAGGGAGTGGAGAAAGCAATGGACTGAAATCTTTGATAGATAGTCTACATATCGACTGTGTGTGTATATACAGAAAGAGAGAGATAGATCTATATATCTGTCTAAATATATATATGTATATATGTATATAGAGAGATAGATCTATATATCTATCAGATTGGTTAAAAAAAAAAAAAAAGTTGTTAGCTGTAAAACTTTATGTCCTGCAATTTATTGCACCTTTATTAATTTTAGAACTCCCTTACAACAGTGCTGTGCCAGCCATAAAATTTTAATGATATAATAAAATATTGGCTAGGAGAATGAAGGGGGGGTTCATGAATACATGAGAAAGCAAACTTGGGGTGGAACAAAAACCACCGAGTAGAACATAAAGGAATATGTCCAGCTGGAGATACCTGTGTATCATGGTCATTTCCAGATTCTTCCAAGATTTGGACAAGAAAACCTGGTTGGCTGCTTTCAACAAGACGAGCAGAACATGCAGAAGTTACAGTCAGAGCCTTTCAGAGCACTGCAAGTCGGAGTAAAATAAGGTGTATTCTTATGCAGGATTTACTAGCAAGAAAAGAATAGAATCATTTTCAAGGCTCCATGTACAAATCATCATAATCTGGTGATCTAAGGCCTTTTAAATGCAATACATACAGACTTTAAAAGCATTCAGAACTTTTTCTTCTGAACTGATACAGTTACAGGTATTATGCATGTATACTTAAATGCATATATAAATATATCTACCTATTTACAAAAACTCAGATGAGGGAAAAGTAACACTGAAAAAAACTATTTTCCTGTGGAAAGGAAGTTCTGCATTTCTTGCACCTTCATTTTTTGTTTTATTTCTTTAAATGCAGACAGAAATTCATAGGGATTTTTAAGATTCATGATTTTATTGTCCATGTTTTTGTGGATACACATGAACAACTCCTGTATAAGCAGAATGGGACAGAGAAGCTAGGTAGTGAGCACACATTGACATCCAGTTACATCCAGTGAGAACGGACCTTTTCCACATATATCAACATTCAAATGCCTGATTTGGCAGCTCTTATATTAGTTCTGTAAGTGGATCATTGGATAGAAAACACCTTGATTTATTTAAGTTACATGGTTTCTGAATCTGCGCACATAAGATGTGCAGACAGCTTGCAGTTCTTGACCTGCTGCATAAATAAATGGCGCTCTTGTTCCTAAGCAAACACCTCACCGGGGAAGTTCTGACTGACATACCCAGGTGTAAGTAGTTACAGATGTGTATTGGATTTTTTGAAGTGAAGAAAAGATTAGCCTAAAGGTGTTATTGAAAAGTCATTAAAATGTGGCTAACTAATTTCAGGGAAACGATGTGAACAGGGAGATAACTCATGGTTCATGTCTACAGTTTAGGTGACTGTTGAGTCATCCAACAAACAGGTTTACTTCGGGATACTACATTGACCAAAATTGGTTTCTTTTCCAATCAAATGAAAAAACTAGACTATTTTAAAAAGGTAATTGTATTGGTGAATGATGTGTCCTAATGAGGCAGCTAAAACTGAAAAGATCCAAGAGCCACATTCTACAAAATTTTCCAGACTGGATGCTTAGTCATGTAACTGCAGGAGAAATACTTGAATTTCAGTCATGCTAAGCATCTGGAACTATTATTGTCTTGACACCTAAATATTGGCCTTTTATCATTTAGTAGAGAGATGTAGCTCAGACTTAGAGACAAGACTTTCGCTTGGGAAACATACATATAACATAAATAAAGCAGTAGACATAAAAAAATTTAAAAAAATTGATAGTTTTTAACAGATGGGAATGATGAAGTCAAGGGAATTACTTGAGGGATGAACTGGCTTACAGTATTCTAAAATATTGAAAGAAATGCAGTAACTCTATCACTCACCCCAGATACTTGCCTTTCCAGACGTAGCTCTGAGGTAATTCAACCTTGGCCATGCTTACAGTTGTATGATCTGTCAGATTATCTGTTGACAAACATGGCCACAGTTCTCCCTTGACCCAGTATCATAACCACTGAAATGTTTCTTAGAAATTGAAAATGCATGAGAATGTCTTAAACATATTAAAATGAGTTATAGTTTGTGTACTTTCTGAAATCTTGCTCATAATAATATACAAAGCCATCAAAGATTTAGGAAAAAAAAAACCTGGAACTTGGGAAGAACATTTTTCTCTAAAGAAGAATAAGACTGAGGCTGCACCTGACCATTGCAAAAAAAGCCATAAGGTGTGCTGTGACTTGGAGTGTTTGTGTGCGGCTTATGAAGTTTCACAGTAACATAGGTGGCAACACCGGTTGTGCCATGGAGAATGCCATAACATGAAATGCCTGACAAGGCCTATTGCCCATCAGCACCAGGTAGGGACAAAAGAACATGCTCATCTTTAACAACTGGTCTTTAACTTGTGCTTGGTTATGCTAAGGAGGCTGCCCGCATCTGGGAATATTTATTAGAGGAGAGGCTGCTGGCATGGCAAGTGTCTGTGGTTTCCTGATGAGAAGGCCTCAAAACACATAAAAGGTCAGGAGATACTGTAGTCTGGGGTCACTCTGAAGTGAAAGGAACAGCAAATATGCTTGAAATAGGGGCCAGGAGAATCCCTCTTTTCTGAGAACCTGAGATGCCTAGAAAGGTATTGGAGGGAGAGGTCAGATGGACCTGGAGAAGGCAGAAGTTTCCAGCCTACTCATATTTAGGGAATTAAGGATTTAAATTGGGTCCCAATGCAACAATGCAGTAAGCAATCGAACAGAAGAAACGTTATCTAGATCAGCCTAAGAATGGTAAAGGACATCATTACTCTCTTTTGGCAAATTGTTTAGCTCCCTGTTTCACATTTCATTTCTAAAAACTGTTCCTCGTGGGACCAAGTAGCACCTACGGACGCTTTACAGCACAGTTCAAACAATTATGGAATAGTCCGCCAGACTATCTGTCAGCTTTCAGTAAGTTTTAAAATCAAAGACTTAATATGCCAAATGTTAGTATCACAGGCAACGTTGTTTAATTTCAGTTTATCTGAAACAATCCTTGTGCTTCTAGTTTCACCTGTATATTGGGTGTGCACAAAGAGTTCTCAAGGCTTTGGAAACGGGCTGGGACATTACCAGGTTTTACAGGACTGATGGAGTCGCAGCAATGCTCATTCTAATAGGGATAACGAGGATCACAGCATGCTTTTAATAAAGCCTTGGCAGTGAAACGGTGAACCATCTTGATGCTGCAGCCACCTCCAGCCTTCAGGGTTACGAGGCAAACGAGGTACGGTTGGAAGCTCTTCCTTCCCCTAAGGCAGCGCCTCCAGGTTTGTGCAAAGACACGTTGCTGGGTCGCGCGGACACACTCCTTGGGAGCAAGGCTACGAAAACACAAGGCCGGGCTCCAGAGCACGGTACCGAGCGCAGGGCCACGCTGCAGCGAGGCCCACGCGTGCGCTCTGGCCCCAGTCACGGCCGTTTCCACGCATCCCCTCGCAGCCACCTGGGCTTAAGCTGCCCGGCTTGAGGGCCGTGCCCGCTCTCCACGTCTGGTGTAACCACCTCGTGTCTGCACCGACT